TTCATTCCATGGCATCTCCAGATCACCTCAGAGGATCTGAGTCCTGCAGTGCCAAAAAATTACCCCCCCAAACCAGCCCTGCCAGGAGGCTGTGCCAGCACATCAGGAGCTGCTGTTCCCAGCAGACATGCCAGGTCACAGAAATCCTGGACACAATGTTCTGCACGGGGATTGCAGGGCTCTGGGAAATGTTCTGTCATTCCAAATGGGCTGATAACACCTGGACATGCTGCAGACCAGGAGTGGAGGCTTGACAGAAAACAAAAGGGTCTTATTTTAATTTCCAAATCCAATTGTTCTTCAGAAATAGGGATCTGCAGAAAAGCCTTGCACAGTCCAGTTCAGCTCCCATATTCAAAGCTCCAGCATTCCACAGGCTGGGACTGTGGGGAAGGTATAGCAGCAGAGCCCAATCCAAAACTCAGAATGGAGAAAAGCCCATCAGCTCATGCTGTGATTTGGCTCAATTCCAACTGGGAAGTCACTGAATAAAAATCTGCCACTGAATTCCTCTGGAACTCATCCCCTCATGCCCATCCCACAGCACCTGGATCCCAGGAGAGCTCCCTCACCTGCCTGGCTGCATCCCTGCTCCTCAGGATCACCAGCTCCTGGTCAATGCTCTCAACCTCCTCCAGGCTGGTGCCGATCCATTTCTGGATCTGGAGGATGTAAAACTCCCGGATCTGATCCTCATCCGCTGTCCCGCTCTCCACAAAGCTGCTCATGGACGCCAATTTGTTCTCCAGCTCCTTCTTCTGTTTGTATCTGGCTCAAACACAGCAAAATCAGATCATGGAATCATTTTTCTCCATGGAGCCCTGGGATCGTTACCACCCTTTGTAAAAGGTCCAACCAAATTTCATGGAAGTTGTGCTGGTTCCTGTTGGAATTTCAGCCTCTCCTGTGTGTTAAAAGCAGCTGTAAAATTACACTTAATTCAGAGAGACCTCAATGATTTTATTCTCCTCCTAAATATTGAGGAATTCTTGGAAATTGAAGCTGTCCTGGTAAAATTAGGCGAGACTGGAAACATCAGTCTCCTGGAGAAAGCAGGACTGAGAAAATCAATGGAATGGCTGGTTTGAGTTGATTCCGTGTCACACAAACAGAATAAAATGCTCTTCCAACTTCTCAGGTTGGTTTTGCGCGTGTGGGTGTTTTTCAAAATGTAATTTTGGCTTTTTGGATTTTCTGACCTATTCAGGAATTAAAGGGAAGAACTCCCTATATAATAAACTTCCAGGGTAAATTTATCTTTACTTTTTCAGGAATTAGTTATTAAAGGGGAAACTACTCCTATAAAAAGCTTCCAAACTAAATCCTTGTGTCCTCCTTCCCTGAGTTACTGTCATCTGAAGAATGAACAGTAAGAGCCAACCTTTGGGAGCTGAGAGAACAAGGAGCATGAAAGAGTAATTAAAAAAAAAAAAAGCCCTTCCCAATTAGAATATAAATCATATTTTTCTACGCTTTTCTACACAATTTAAGCAAGCCCAGCCCAGTTTGGACCTTTCAGCTCTGCCACAATGATAAATACAGTGGCCAAAATCCCAACCAGAGCACCAAAGGCCCCAACAACCTTTTTTCCAAGCTCTAATGAACCCACTGGTAGGAAACTTCCAGTTTGGAAGTCTTTATGGTGCCAGCAGTGATTAAAGAACTAATTGTAAGATTAATTATGAAAGATTAAAGAGCTTATTTTAAGTTTTTGAGCAGTTTTTCCTCAGAGACCAGAAACTGGAGACACAAATGCCCCTCCCTAGCCCCACCCATTAAACAGCGAGCTGCATCTCCTAAAATGAGCATTTTATGGTCAAATTATTCCAACGCCCAGGGAAGCTCTTCCCTGTCCAACCCTGCACTGCCTCAGGCTCCCGCTCCTCCCAGAGTGACTCCCAAAGCTGCACCTTTCGATTTTGGCTGTCCTGCTCATGGCCATGGCCACCAGGTTGGGCTGGGCGGGGTCCCTGGGGGCCGAGGGGCTCCCGGTTTCCTCCTCGCTGGAGATGCCGGGGGGCAGCTGGAAAGATCCCAGCCCGTAATTCCTGCAGAGCTTGAGGAAGCGCAGGAAGTGCTCCCGGGCACTCTCCAGGTGCTCCCTTCTCCTGCTCAGGTCCACCTGCTTCAGCGTCAGGGCTCCCAGCAGCGCCGGCAGCAGCATGTACTTCAGGTCGGCTGAGGCCACTTCCTCCAGCTCCTCGTTCTCGCTGCGAGGGAGAGAGCAGGGAGTCAGGGAACGGAATGGAGATGGGAAAGGGGGTAGAGTCATCCTGTGAGAGGCAGCTGAGGGAGCTGGGAAAGGGGCTCAGAGAAAAGGAGGCTCCGAGGGACCTTCTGGCTCTGCACAGGTCCCTGACAGGAGGGGACAGCCGGGGGGGATCGGGCTCTGCTCGCAGGAACAGGGACAGGAGGAGAGGGAACGGCCTCAGGCTGTGCCAGGATGGGCTCAGGTTGGACATCAGCAGGAATTTCTCCATGGAAAGGGCGGTCACGCATTGGAAGGGGCTGCCCAGGGAGGTGCTGGAGTCTCCACCCCTGGAGTATCCAAGGAACGCCCAAACGTGGCACTCAGTGCTCTGGGCTGGGTGACAAGGTGGGCATCGATCACAGGTGGGACTCGATGGTCTCGGAATCTTGTCCAACCTCAGTGATTCTATCCCGCTCCCGCCTCACCTCTGCCCTACCCGGGGACCCTCCCCTGTCCCCTCAGACGCGTCCCCTCCGCTCACCTGAACAGCTCCAGCTGCGCCACCATGGCCGTCGCCCGCTGCAGCGCGTCCAGCCCCTGCCGCACCTTGTCCTGCACGGCCGGGGCTCCCGAGGAGGGCTCGGTGCTGGCCTCCAGCTCGTCCCAGAGCCGCCGTCCCAACGCCAGCAACTCCGCCAGCCGGGGGCCACTCGCGCCCGTCTCCGCCATCATGGGCCGGGAACGGCGCTGACACCACTTCCGGCGCGGTCGGGGGCGACCGTACCCGTCCGGGCCGCCATCTGGGGAAGGTCACCGCCATAGCCACGACATGGGGCGACACCTTGGGGAGGTCACGGCTAGAACTCCAGCGGGCGCCATCTTGGGGAGGGTACAGGCATAGCCGGGGCGCGGGAGCCGCCATGCTGGTGAGGGCAGGCTGAGGGACAGCGGCCCCGGTGGGCGCCGTGATGGCCCCGCGCTCTTCCCGCGCCCATTAAGCCCCCCGAAACCCCCGGGACGAGCAGGAGCTGAGGGCAGGAGCGGCTCGGCGAGACCGGGGGAGCTCAGAAGCCTCCAGTGCCCTCACACTTTTCCCTGCCAGGTCCTGCCTGGCGCACCGGCCCGCACGGGTCCTGTCAGGGAGAGCAGGAATGGAGTGTGAGGAATTGGAAAAAAATTAGATTAATTAGATAAATTGGCAGAAGACATCTGTTATCCTGCTGTATAAAAGGGGTACACGGTGAAGATCCTCAATAGCACAGTACTGGATGTCAATAAGTATCAACTTATTTAAGCACAGCACCTTCCTATTCTTCTCTGGTTTTTCTATATTACAAGTGGGACATGTGACCTTTCTCTTTTTTTTTTTTTTTTTT